TGTCTTACAATTATGGGAGAGGTCTATGTGGGAGTTATTTCTGCCACACCCTGTATAAGTGTCTTTTTTGTTTCCATTTTAGTTAAGACTCATTGCTCACATGTTCAGTCCATGGTATTCTCAGCATCCTTCTGTAGAACCACACTTATGTTACCTCAAGCCACCTCTTCATCTGTGAAAGAATTTCCAGCATTTACTGCCATAGAGGATAATTAATATTAGATTGAAGTTCAGCACTGCTTTCATTATTTCTAATTAAATTTTCCTGTTTCTTAATACTTTGCTTACCATTTGGAAGGCATCTTTTGCCATTCCAGTACACATTCAGATTTCAGTGTCACACTTTTCATTGTCTTTTAAATCACTTCCCAGATATTTAAACCACTGTAATGGTTTGATTTTGACCTTGGGAAGAACTATGTAAAATCAAAATTAATATCAGCTTAACTAATGATTATGCACTTTAAACCCTTGGAAATATAATGGGGACATGGTTGTGCAGAGGATATATAAAAAGAGAAATTTAATTTTAAAAAGCAGCTTAGAAAAAATTTACCATAATTAAATACATTAAGATTAAAATTGACACAACACAGAAAAATGTCACTAAAAATTAAAAATTAGCTTAGTCTGGCATAGGATCAATTAAGTAAGAGTTCTTAGTGAAAGAAAAAAATCATTTGGCTTAAGACACCAACTTAACCATCACTTTTACACAGGACTATTGTTACAAGAATAATTAAGTGATTTGGGGAAACTTGCGTATCTATGGAGCCTTTAGAAATCAAACACTAGCTTCTGTCTCAACCATGCCACAGCATGAAATCACAATTCAATTAGCAAGCAGGTATTGTTATGGTTTAATGTTTGGATTAAAAAGTTGAGGAGGTGATCAAAGAGGCACACGTGGACGTGAAATACATGAGTGGCTAAAGGCTCGGTGAGTGGGGAGTGCAATTGTTTAAAAAATAAGCTGCAAAAACCACACAGAAAAAAATTCCAATATGAAGTTATCAAATAAAGTATCAAATAAAATCAGCAAAATTTATTTATTATTATTATAATACACTGATTTATTTTAACTGTTGTCCTCACATTGTAAAGAACTATGTAAAATCAAATTTAATATCCGCTTAACTAATGAGTATGCATTTTAAACCCTTGGAAATATAATGGGGACATGGTTGTGCAGAGGATATATAAAAAGAGAAATTTAATTTTACAAAGCGGTTAGGAAAAATATACCATAACTAAATATGTTAAGATTAAAATTGACACTCCCCAGAAAAATAGTAAAGTTCATGGTCAAATGAGGAGGTTGTAGACCATCTAACTAAATACAGCAAGTTGCTAAAATGTAATACAAAAACATACATTACAGGGCAGGAACAGTTATACATTGGGAACTGTACAAAAGATTTTCCCCACAGTAGTTGCAGGAGATACATGGAAAACTCTCCGACCTGCATAAAAGATTTAGATTGTGCATATAATACTGTCCATACTCTTTAAATACCATGATTTACTTATCACATATGGATATTTATTCTGCAATAACAGAAATGTGGCACAAGGCCGAAATAGGGGAATGGGGAGAGGACAGTCTTCTTCTGTCTTAGTTTTAACTTAGCTAGCCGCAGACACTGACCCAATCGTACGAATAATATTCCTTACACCAAAACAACGCATTTATACGTACCTTTCAAACTACAAACACCATAATACCTCATCGTCTCTATGAAAAAACTAACTAACTTATCACATATGCCCACCCTATCTGAAAAAAAAAAAAAAAAAATGCTTAGCTTATTTATTGCTCCAGAAAGTATCTGACATCTTCTGCCATGTTTTATTTTTACAGGAATCAGTTTAAAAATGGAGTATTACAGTCATATCCAGGCTAAAGCTGTCCAAGGTTCACTTTCCAACTTTGATAGGAGTTCAAAATCATTTACGCTGCCTTGTGATCGAGGACTTATTTTCCAATTTGTAACAACTTTCTCCACGGACCCAATGACATTGCAATCCCGTTGTTACTCTATTATTATTTCCATGGCGAAATGCTCAGATGAACTACACTCTTTAGTTCTACCAGTTCAGACCTTTACAGCTAGAACAGGCCATGACCGCTTCCACAGAGTTGAATCATCCTTATTTCTCCAAATGTAAAAAGAAAGTTAGATAGCTCCCCAAACCCAAGAACTGCCATTTTATCAAACAGATTTCTATATGGTTGCTTCCCTGAATAATTCTGACATCTTCGAATCAAGGATCAATCATCATCTTTCCTGATTCTCATCATTTTTTACCACTTTCTCTTCCATTTATATCACACATCACATTTAGCATTACCAATTTGATTATAGCTCTCTACCTTGACTGGCTCTTGAGCCTTGTATTGAATGAACTTAAGTCTAATAAAAATTAGAAATGCTTCAATGATATTCAAATGGTATTCATCAACCACACTGGAAACTCACTGATATTCTTTTAAAAGAAAAAATTTACACAAAATTATGCCTGTATAACAAGAGGACAAATTACAAGAGAAAGAAAAAAAAATGAATTGATACATGTATGTGTATATATATATATATATATATATATATATATATATATTAAAAAAAAAACAACAAAATGACCTAATACAATCATAAAATGGAAATGATAACTTCATTATTGAAAGCCACTCAAAAGCATACCTTAAAATCAGTTTTATTTTTAAATTCCTGTTTTTAATAACAAAACTTTATAACAATTTTCCATTAATTCCAATCCTTTTAATTTCTTGTTTTTAAAGATAATTACTGGTTTCAATCAAATAGGGAATGACACCTAAAACATCACCCTCCCCAAATTTATAGACAAACCATACAGATGCATACTGGGATTTCTTACTAACCAAAAACATAAGCCACTTCTATATTCCCTTTTGTGTGTTAATTCCATTCTTACTTTGTGAACTTTTTTGCCTTATTACTGAAGCTTTGCCTACTTTTGTCTTACACACAAACATACATTTTATTTATATATATATATATATATATATATATATATATATATTGAGCAGTATATATTTTATATCATAAAGAGAGTAATCATACAAAGAATTAATTAGTAATATTAATGTAATTAATGAGAAAATCTCTTCACTAACAGATTTTATTAAATCTGTTAGCAAAGAGATTTCACCATTAATATTACTAATTAATTCTTTGTATGATTACTATTTCTTTATATATATATATATATATATATATATTTCTAAAGTGAAAAGAGAGAGGCTGCAAATGTTTTTGGTTATATAATGTGTTTTTCTTTTTTTTTTTTAATATATATATATATATATATATATATATATATATATACATACTTTATTTTTCATATTTTTTGCTATACATCTTTCGAGCCTTGTGACAAGAATGGTTATTTCCACATATTATTTGAAGGAATTCATTTTTTTCCTTATGTTTAACCATTGTCTTTTGTGTGTGGTAGTAATCAAAGTTCTTGAACTAGTGGAGAAAATGTTCCTCTACTTAAGGGGTAATGAAACAATTAGGATTAGTCAAAGAAAGAGGGAAGGATATATTATATATATATATATATATATATATATATATATATATATATATATATATATTGTCTTTTCAGTATTTTCTTTGCTTCTTTTTTGTTTCCTTCCTTGTTGTTTAGGTATTACTGCCAAGTGCATTTAACAATGATCAATTTATAATAAAAGCCTATAATTTTTTGAGACAAATTTTTTTTTTACAACCAGATTTTTCCACTCATATTCATGGCAACTCCCCAACTATAAGCATTAAACATCAAATCCACAAGAAATATCAAAAATTCAAGTGAATGCGCTATATTTCTTCAGGTTTTGTCACCCTCAGCAATACTTGCTCCTTCTTTTGAAAAGATAGAAAATAACTCATTTCTCAAATGAAGTAACCAAGAAAGATACTAATGCAATTAGTAGTCATGCACAATCTATACAAACCAGTTTATCTATGTGTTTTAACAATATGACTGCATATTTCATTAAATTATTAGAAAGCATTCATCTCGGAGTGTTTACATACATTTTTCAAATTATATTAATATATGTTCTAATAACGGAGGAATATGTGTTTACTCATGCATTAAAAAAAATAATGACATATTTCATTAAATCCTTATTAAAAGTTATTGAGAGTCTTTAAATATATTTTTCAATTTTTATTAAATATATAATAATGGGGGATCAGTTTAATACTTAATAGCAACACAAAAATGATCCCCTACTTTGTTTAGTATTAACAATATCAAACTGATCCCACAAGTAGAATTTTCTACCAGTTTCGCCATGCAGAAAATAAATGACAACATATTTTATTAAGTTTGTGTCGGAAAGGGTTGAAAGTTTTGTGGACCATGAGGAACCTCTTTTTGCCACTACCAAATGGAGAAAAATGGCATGGTTTGGACACGTTACAAGGCATGACAGCCTGTGCAAGACTATCATGCTAGGCACCATTGAAGCTGGACGTAGGAGAGGATGCCAACACAAAAACTGGTCGGACACTGTCAAACAATAGACAAGCACGACGATACCAGAATGTTGTTGGCTACTGTTGATAGATCGTTATGGAGGAGATTCAATATGGCTTCTTTATTCGGATCCCCCCCCTACAATTACAAAAGTCAAGTGGATGATGATGAACTATTTTAAAAGGCATCTTCACAAATGAATCTTTAAATATATTTTTCCAATTGTTACTATTGTATTGTGCTTTTCACATTGTTGATCTTTTCAATCTCTGGCTTTGTAAACATAATAGTCCTCACCCTCATTATAACAAAGATCCCAATGCGATATTAAAACTTAGATATCACAGCAAATAAATAAATAAAATTCATTCAGCATGCAAAAGATTTCCAAATGAAGGAAGCATTAAAGGATAAGCAAGAAATATGAAAGAAAACAAACGTCGAGTCCAAATAAAGGTGCCTACCTGCTGGTTTAGTGAATGGATTGTGTCTTCATTGATGTCGTTGCTGGCAACAATGGTCAGTTTAGCAAACATTGGAATATTAAATCTGTTGGAAATTAAAAACAAAAACAAAAAAAAAAAACATAGGACATTTATGACACGTTAACATCAATATGAGCAATACAATATCAAGTCATTTTTTTCTTTTATGTTATAAAATTTTTCTAATTAAAACTACTGTTTGTTACAACAACTATGAAAAGAATTAAAACAATTTATGTCAGACCCAAGATACGTATTTTTGATATGCAAGTCTATGTTTTACATTTGTGTATATTTCTGAGATGAGGTATTGTAACCATTTACACTATTTAAATTGTTCAGACTGTTGTCTTTATCTTTATTATCATGTTCACAACATTTCAGGTGTTGCACACTCCCGCCTTCTTCAGGCTCTGACTATATTTCTGAAATGAGGTATTGTAACTATCTACATTGTTCGAACTGTTGTCCTCATCGTTATTGTTACATTCACAATGTTTCAACCGATTGACTCTCTGGGTTCAGTTCAAAATTCCAACAAATATCACCTGAAGAAGGCCAGAGCATACAACAGTCGAAACGTTGTGAGTGTAAAAATAAAGATGAGGACAACAGTTTGAGTCTATGTTTACATTGAATGCATATAGGTTGATCTTAACCAATCAATATTTACATTTCAAGGATAGGCATCTAATTTTGAACTATGGCCCAATTTTGTTTTATCTTAGAAAAAAGAATTCCATCATCCTCACAGAGTCCTCATCTTTGATACGACCACTAAAAAAATTGTATTAATCTTTGTTTATTTATAATGAAAAATATTTAATACAGTTTAAAATGAATTATTTCAAATTGAAGTCGTGTACACTGTCAATATCTTGATTATGTCATTATTTTCTCTTTGAGTTACAAGTGCTATCTATTTTAGTTGTTGCTGCTGTTGGTAGTCCTCAAGTGATGTGGTTTCTGTTATTTGGTAAAGTTCTTTGATTTTGTAGTGTCAGTCTGCAATGTTCAAAGAAGGATGGTTTTTGCCAAGATCCTCAGGATTTTTCTTTTCACCACTGATCTTAGGAATCGGTTGTATACAGTTGACAGTTTAGATATTTCTAAACAGGTATGGCACCATATGAAATCTCAAACTGACAAGGCTATTTAAGAACATGACTAGAGTTTTCAGCTTCATGTTTAACAGATCAAGACACGATTTAATTTTAAGTGATAATTTTGTTTTTATAGTTTAATCTTAAATTTATCAGCCTTCGATAAGGGTTGATCAAAAAACTGGTAACTTAAAAAGACTTAGAATTTTTTTTTTTTTTTAAAGTAATTTTCAACATGTCTGATTCTGCATGCTATGAAAGAAAAAGATGTCGTGGAGAGATATGATTACCTACTTTCTGAAAGATTATTTATATAACAAAATCAAAGATTACTTTTAGAATATTTTTTATCATTTTCATTTGTAATTTAATTTTATAAAGATTAAAATTTTTTAGATTTAGCAACAATCATCTTTGATAAGGACTGACAAAAAAGCAGTTAAATAATTCGTTCCTGCAATAAATTTTTAAAAAATGAAACCGAACTTAAAGTAAATGCCAAGACCTAGCCAACTTACTTTTCTGCCACCACTTGGAACATCTTACGAGAGGTATGGGAGAGGTAGGCCAAGTCACCACTGTCAAGCCGAACTCCTTTTGGGATATATCCAATTTCGTGCAAGGCTAAAGCAACAGCACAAAAATTAGGCAGACCACTCCTGAGCACAAAAAAAAAAAAAAAAAAAAAAAAAAAATGGATGTAATTAAAATTATTTAATATACTACCTATAATTTTGAGAAGAGTCCTTATCATTCAAAAATTTGTTTGGACAGGTGAAAGCATTCTTTGTACTGATGGTGTTGCTTTCATAATATTTTGACCATTCTACAGTAGGGATCTCTACTAATTCACTTTATATATATATATATATATATATATATATATATATATATATATAAAACCAGCTTAGTATGATGAAAAAAGGACCCAAACTTAATAAAAACAAGTTTTTATTGTCAAAATGTTTGTCATTAATAAGAAAGAAAGACCAAAGTATTTTTTTTAAATTTTTTAAAATCCTCTCTAGTACATTCAAAATTACAGTTAAAATTTTTGTTTATTGCGTCTTTGGTCAATGTTAATACTTACAGTAAGTATTTTAGCACCTTTTTCCAGGTGAGAAACACATCGATTTGAAAATTCTTGCAAAAATCAAATAATTGTCAGATTTTAATTAAACTTTCAGAACTTATTCACAAATGAATTAAATTATTTTTGAATTTTTTTTTTTTTTTTACCCACCACATTTGATTTCATGAAATTTTGAAAAATTAAATTTTAATTCCAAAATTTGTTTTATTAGTTAAAAGCAGGACTCCTTAGAGAATGTAAATCATATTTTTTTTATTTTCAAACTACTACTCATTTCCTGAAAATCTGCTCTGAAACATAATAAAAATGCAATAAAACTATGACATTTTTTAATTAGAAAAGATTTTAATTGATTTTATAAACAAGATTTATTAAGGACACTATTGTCTGAAAAAAAAATTGTTTTTGATAAATAATGAATTTTTACAAGAATTGTTTTTATTTATTTTTTAAATTTAATTATAATAATTTATAAAGTTTTAAATATTTTAAAATTCTGCATTAATTTAATTGTGTTAGGTGATATTGTAAGTGAAAACTATATTTACCAATCAAAAATTCAAAAGCTTCATACAAATCATCACACACCAAGATTTTTAAAATAATTTAAAATTTTTTTTAGTGTATAAATGCTCCAATTTTTGTAAGTATGGGCGGCCATACATGACATTATCAAAAAATATGATTGATGACTATAGTAAATTTAAAGTCAACATTCAGAAAATTATATCATGGAGAATATTTTCCAACATTTTTCAGATTATTGAGTACTTCAAAATTATATAAAAAAAAGGCACTCATGTCATTTTCTTAATTTTTACATGTTTTACAAATAAAGTCGCCATGGAACAACATCATCACCTTTTCATCTACTGCCAGTTAAAGGCAAAGTTACTGTATGTTTGTTATTTTAAACTTAAAGTAAATAATATTCATTTCACATCAAATTAATTGTACTTTAAATCAGATAATATTCCTCAAATAAAGTTTCATATACATATATTTTATTTTTGGAAGATCTTTTAATAAAGACAATTACATTGTGATGAAAGACAACTAAAAAAAAAAAAAAAAAAAAAAAAAAAAATTACAAAACCTTCCAGTCAATTTAAATTAGTTTTAAATTAGTTTTTGAAATAAAGAAAAGTATTTTGATTATAGTAAATATTAAATTTAATCTCTCAGCTTCAAATTAAAACCAAAATAAAAGCTTCAGAAAATACTTTTCATTTTTAAAAATTCATTTTAAACCTGAGGTATCGCGTTTTTAGTGGCAGTCCCTATTCTTAAGCCATCAGAGTTGAGGGACATAAAGTCATATCCAAAGACGAGGTAAAAATTTATAATATAGCAGACCACGAAAAGTTCTCAGCATAACTTAACCCGCAAAATCTAATCAAATATCAAAAATGTAATATTGGGATCTCTTCTTTGCTGGGTCATGAATCTTTTAATGAGGTCCAGATAATTTTTCAGTATATTCTTGTATAGGTTCCTCCACTAATTTGGTATATGTAAGGTTTAAAATGAATTTTTAAAAATGAAAAAGCTTTCTTGGAGCTTTCATTTTAGCTTTAATTGAAAGTTAAAGGATTTAAAATTTACTATTTCCAGTAAGCAAAATCTGTGGTGTATTTCAAAAAGAAATTATATTGATTGGAATTAATTTGTTTTTTTTTGCAATAAAATCAATAAAAACGGCTATTTTCGACACATTTGTCAAAAAAAAAAAAAAAAAAGAAAAAGAAAAAAAAGTTAATTCTCAGCTTTAAAAATCTTGCAAAAATAAAATATATATTTCTGAAACATTATTTGAGGAAAATTAGCAAATTTAAAGTTAAATTAATCTGATTTAAAACAAATATTACTTATAGCAAAAAATGCATACAAACATTTCTTAACCACAGAGTCTTTTTTTGCTAATGTCTTGATTTATTGACAGCAAAACGTGTTCATAGTTAAGTATGGTGGAGCAGATGATAAAGTTCATATGAAAAAAAATTTTTTTCTTTTAAGGGTGGGGGGTCAACCCTTAAAACACTTGACCTTTTAATGATAATGTTACAGGTTTGATCATCCATATTTTGAAATTCTGCATATTTCACATACAAAAACGAATCAAAATTCTTTTAAAAATACTCAGTCATCAGATTGTAATAAGGTTTACAATATATGATTAGTAAATATAGTTTTACTTAAGAGTTATCTCACTGAAAATGAATTTTAAGATTTAAAAACTTTATAAATTATTCAATTTAAAATTGTAAAAAATGAAAAATCATGTAAAAAATTCATTTTTCATGAAAAATTTTTTTTTTCTTCAGACAATATTGTCTTTAATATTTATCATTCATAAAAGCTTCTCTAATTAAATAATGTTTTAATTTTATTGAGTTTTTATTTTTTGATTCAGAATAGATTTTCTGTAAGACATGATCCAATTTTGGAAAAAAAACAAAAAAAAAATTCAAAAATTATTTCATTCATAAATCCTGGAAATTTCATTAAAATCCAACAATTATTTGATTTTTGTAAGAATTTCCATGTGATTTTAATGGATCTGTCACTGCAAAAAAATGAGGCTAAAATTTTCTATGCTAAAAGTTAGTACAATTGTTGACACAATAAAAACAAGATTTCTTAATCAAATTTTCTAAAAAAGGAGTAAAAAATTTAATTAAATGTTCAAAAAATACTCTTTTATTCCTCTTCACAAAAACAAAGATTTTGATGATAAAACTGTGTTTTCATTATGTTTGGAAGATGTTTTCATCATGGCATGCTGATTTTGCAGCATTTTCATGGATGTACCTATTCTTGTATTACCTTCCTTTTAATGAGGTCCAGATAATTGACAGCAAACACAGCTGGAGAGCGAGAAAATTAAAAGTATCTGTATACATAGACCCATTAGTTGTGTTCCAAAGTTGCACCATTATTGAGTTCAACATTTTATATACTTTTTCTTTTGTCAGAGAAAATAGATCTTCTCACCCAACCAATAAAAGATGACCTGGCACTTTAGGGGATTAAAACATCTGAAAAAATTTAAAATACTGTGGCAATAAGAATGATGAGTTCAATTGTCCAAACAAATCCTGGATTTGCATTTTCTGATTACAATAGACTTTATAATAGAAACATTTACTAATAGTAATTAGCTAGAAATAAAAAAATTGATACAAAAGAGTTTTGATAACAGTATAAATAAAGATATATTATTTAAAATTTTTTCTTTTTAAATTTAATATGTATTAACCCATTACCTGCCATGAGCCCCATTTGGAGATCTGTTAAAATTAAACTCACTACATGTTATTCCTTTTATTTACATTGAATTGCTTACATACATTGCATTTGCAGAGGTATATTTTACAACACTTAGCCTTTAAAGTTTTTATTATTAGCTGTAAGAAGACATTTTCTGTCGTAATTTTACATTTCATGAGTAGAAAAATAAAGATTATTTTGAAAAGTATTTTTTTTTTATTATTTCTAATCAATATTATTTTTTGATCTTTTATACACATTTGATGTTCTAGTTTCTATAAAAATGACAATGGTAACTACTGAAATTAAACATAAATAAACTCCTAAGACACATGTCTGGACCAAAAATGCACATTAAAAAATTTGGCACTTAATGGGTTAAAGTGACAGGAGACATTAAAATTTTAAAAATACTAGAATTTTTTTTGCAACATGCTGATGTGTGTTGAAATCCTTACAGCATTTAATATTTTTGAAGTTATTGCTATCATTTTTGTTGTGTTTTATAAAAAATAAAAAAAATGTTTCATTCAATTTCACAAACCAACCAATGAAATTTGAATAAGCTGATTTGTTTGTAAAAATACTTTGACAAAAACCTGACTTCACAGTTTAATAATTTCTTTTATTTAATTTTATAGAACTTCATGGTAAACAATATTTTTAAGAAAATTCATTTTTTTTTTTTTTTTTTAACAACAAATAATAAATTCTTAGGATTTCTTTCTCTTGAGCATACAACATACAGCTGACCATGCGTAAATATTTCTTTCTGGAGCTAAATTCCAATTTTTTGAAGTGATTGGCATTTTGATTTGTTTATAATTCTCACAAACGCGGGGTGAACTGGAAATTGGATTCTTGTATATATAAATATATATTTTACCAGAATGAAATATATATAAAAACAAAGAAAATATATGCAAAAAACAATATTGCATTTTTATTAAAATAAGTATTTGTTAGGAGGTGTAATGGATGAACAAATGAAAATCATAGAATTTTATAAATATGTAAGAAGTAATTTGACTTTGCTAACCAGATACTTCCTCTGTAGCTAAAAGGTATAGCATGTCAGGCTATATGACGGTTCTGTGTAGGATACAGGTTAAATTCCTGTCAGAAGACATATTTTCTATGAAATTTCTTGGACATCCAGGCTGGTAAATGTAGTTAATACTGTTTATTATAAACAGAGCATTTACTATATTAATTCAAAAATAAATAGATAAAAAATAAAATCTAATAAAAAAAAAAAACAACTAATATATAAGGAAAAAGGCTAGATTATCGAGAAAAAAATTTGCTGTAAATTTCGTAATTCAAATCAACATTATTTGAAAGAATTTGAAAAAAAAAAAAAAATACAATTTTTACGGCGACAGTAGATTTTAGCTTCCAGTATTGTTTTTCTATGAATTCATTTATCAACCAAGACAAAGTAAATTAAATCTAGCATGTAAAAGTGAACAAGGGAGTTAACTCATACTTACTTCACCACGTCGTAGGTGTCAATGAGAGCAAGAAAAGCGTCTGGAAAGGAAATCGCATAGGAACAGAAAGCAGCAAGTTCACCTTCGCTAACTTGATCTTTTAAAAACCCTAAAAAAAATTTAAAAAAACAGAAATCGTTCTTATTAAAAAAAATAATAATACGTAAATGAAATTCAAATAAAAGAGATTTCCTTTATGCTAAAGAAGACAAGGGAGATAATTCAGTCATTTACAAATTTGATGACGTGAAAAAAATAGGGGTTTACTTCAGTGCTGACGTTCATTTTATTATGCCGATGAAGGTGAAAAGATGAAAAGAGGCGAAATTCAATTTTGATGGCAAACAAACTGTAGGATTTTTCACAAGATTTTTTTTTTTAATTTTCCATTCAAATAAACTAAATTAAAACGAACTTTTATTTATGTCCCGACATAAAAAAAAAAAAAAAAGTAAAAAAATATTCATAATTTTAAAGTACAGTCATTTATGTGCTATGCGTAATACATACTTAGGCGATCATGTATTTTTCGATACATGACTCTCATCGCAGATTTTTTCCCCCGCAGTAGGTTGCCATTCAAGGCTATAGAACCCAGTCTGGCCTGCTATTTACCCATAGCTGGTGGAAGAAGAAGAAAATTCATAACTTTCCCCAAGGGTATTAGCACATAAGTGAATGTAATGGATTTGACTGAAATTCAAACTCGGCTCTCTGATTCCTCAATTGGAGCCACTATCCATTACTCCACCTTGCCTCCTTTTAAAGTACAGAAGCCTAAAAAAGGAAAATAAGTTGCATTTTCACTTCTTCAGTGAAAAACCATGCCTAATATTACTAATTTGTCTTATTTAAAAAAAAAAAAAAAAATGTTTACTCAAACACATACATTAAATGTAATGTTTAGAGTCAATGGAAATAATGTTGAATTAAAAAAACAATCCATTTACTATTTAAAAATTATTTCATTTATGTTTTGGGTATGAAAATAAAATTTGCAGATATAGGGTTAGAAAGGTCCTAATAAGCGGTACCCGAGCTTTGTTAAGCACACCTAGGCTAAAGGTAGTTTTCTATGCTACGCTCTGTTTAGGTAAAGGTATGAAAAATAACAAATGTTGTGAAGGGCTACAACATGCTTGAGGGGCTCAGAATGGTGCAAGATTTCTTACTTTCTCCTTTTAAGCCCTTACAACAACCTTATTCAGTAACTGTTTACCTTGAATAGGACTTGCGACTTGTATATGGTGAAAAATAGTATTCAGAAAGGATGCGTACCCAATCATTACAATCTCAACCTCTTCAAGTCTAGGGCCAAGCCTTACATGACGTATTTGGTGGAGGAAGGGCATATTCAACATTTGATAATTATGCGGCAATACATGCTTAAAGGTTTTAGACAGTTTTGATCAACATTTCTTGCTATGGTTAGCTGTAAGAAATTGTAAATATAAAACTATCTTATACTTAAGTAAAATAACAATAGTATTTATTAAGAATTTATAACAGAAAATATCAAATTTTACGAAAACATTGACGATTATGTATTTATTTCCATAAATAAATAAAAATAATATCAATTTTGTTGCTATATTCGATTTGTTGTTAGGTATTTTTCATTTTCTCCTTTGTTATTGGTAGCATTTTAGAATACTTTGGCTGCAATGCTAAGTTTCCTAAGTTGAACAAACTGAAGCTATTTTGTTTACACTTTGTTATCTCCCTTTTCCATTTCATCCAGCAAAAACTATAATCACACCAAAACGTAGGTACACATATATGTACCAATTAATATATATCTTTGCTCAGTATAACCCCATCAAGCACTATCACTTTTATACGTCATATATAAATTTGAAAATTATTTGCTTGCTTATATTATCTGGCCATTTCATTTATCTACCCTAGAACTAAATATATAATTATAAATTTACTAATTTAAAAATATGGTTCCATTGCTAAACAGGAATTATCATGTTTCAAAAACAGAAACTAAACCCCAAATTTAATTATAGAATTAAATTTAAAATTTTTATCTCCGATTCATTTTCAAGTGACATCTGGAACCAGAAATCACTTGAAAATTAATTTTTAATGAATTTTTAAATTAGTAAATTTATAATGTTTAAGTTTTTTTAAAAATAATTAATAAGAACACTGGGTTATTAATCTTACCATTCTTTCCCATTATTTTAATATATATATATATATATATATATATATATAGAGAGAGAGAGAGAGAGAGAGAAATGATACAATCCAATGGTAATCTGTATGGAATTTCCAGTAGTATATAGATCCCGGGAGAGCTCCATGTCAAAAGATAGACCAAAATTATTAATTAAAGAATATCAAACACTTACAATCCCATAGGTAATAATTTTTATTTCATGAGAGCTCTAAAAAACAGCAGTTCTCAATCTTCAAGACCTACAAACATGTATGTAAAAAAAAAAAATATTGCTTACCAAATTCATTTGAGAGAGTATCTTGCCATTTCAAACAAAGTTCCAAGAAGTCCACCATTTCATCAGAATCTTTCTTCTTCAGTTGCTGCCAAAACAATTAAAAAAAGAAATTAAAAATGAAATAAAATACTAATAGAAAACAAAGAACAATGTTTATTACAATAAATATATTCATAAAAATCTTAATTCACTTCTTTTTTTTTTTTTTTTTTTTTTTTGAAAAATAATTTCACCCCAAGCCTCCAGCAGCCAAGTTTCTCTGATTGGTAGATTGGAGGTTTTGAGTAACGTGAAACCACCTCTTAATTAACATAGCTCTCATGTCTACCCTGAACCAGGATGGTAGCACCTGTTAGGGCTCCAGCTATGGGCAAATAGTGAACCTCCAAACATCATGAAAATATAAAAATATTATAGCAAAAATACCAGTAATACATTTTTATATAGTAAAATGACCAACAGTACCTATTTATAGTTAAATGATTGGAGTGGAGTGGCAGAATATATGGAACTCCTGCCCAAACAATAAACTGTTAAAAATTAATGAGAATGGCATCAGGCAAGAAGAGACATGATTACATCCAGGCTCTATATTGGACGTACTACCATAAACCGTACGGATATCTTAAAAGAGGAAAAGCCTCCTGTATATGTGGCATGCCAAAAGTCAATCAACATAAAATGTATGCTGACAGATTGCAGCAAAATTTAATTCAATCCAATTAAAATACTACTGAACAATAAACTTTTAAAAGAACTTTTTTTCAAATATTGATTCATTTTACATATTCCAGTTTCTAAGAGAAAATTAAACTGATCTCAAAAATATAATTAAAACAAAGAAATATAGTTATAACTATCAGCTGTCTTACTATGAAAGACAGATTTTTTTTGACTGTTTAAATATAGGGTGTTTCATTATGTTTATTTATAAGGGTGTTTCATTAAGATGAATTATATATATAAAATTTCTCGGATATTCAGGCCGGTAAATTTATTATAAACAGAGCATTTACTTAAATATTTATATCTATAAAAAAGAATGTATAAACATAAAAATGTATTAAAATAAATGACGGACTTTATCCATTTCATGATGTATGACGTCATTTGTTTACATTTGGATATATCATGAACAAATATGAATGTACGTGAGAGAATTATGGAAGATTGTAGTTTAAAAATGCTCCTCTGTGGCCAAATCAGTTAAAGGCACGTCAGGCTATATGACAGTTCCATATAGGATATAGGTTCGATTCCTGTCGGAGGACAAATATTTTCTATGAAAATTTCTCGGACATTCAGGCCGGTAAATGTTGTTTAATACTGTTTATTATAAACAGAGCATTTACTTAAATATTTGTATCAATAAAAAGAATGTTAAACATAAAAAGGTCTTAAAGTCTATAAAGGTGTTTCATTAAGACGGATCAAAGTCAGCAGTAAATAAATCAGTGTTATTGGTGAAAATTTATTTATTTCTCTATTGGATCATGTTATTTAAGTCATGGCAATTATATGTGAAAAATAATATCACCCAAATGTTGGCCAAATTTTATTTAGAAAAATTAAATTTCAGCATTAAATGACCCAATGGGTTGTTATGTTGTAAAACGAACTAAGCAGAAGATAATGATTGGTATTGCATTTAAATATTTGAGGAAGAGTCTTCCACAAGTTAGATGTGCGATAAAAGAAACTTTTAGCATAGAATTTACTGTTTTTATCTTCAGCTTTAAAAGGATGAAAATTTGCTGCCAACTTAATGTTTGTAAGTTTTTTGACGGTTTAGATTTTACTTAGAAAAATATTAAATTTTAATATTAAATGAGCCATTGGGTAGATATGCCATAAAATGAACCAAACTAAATTATAGTAAAATGACTAACAACATATTATGTTCAAAATATTTAGATTCCAGCATTAAATATCTGCTAGAGGTTGATCTGCTGTGAAACAAAATCAAACAACCATCATGAAAAAAAAAAAAAAAAATCCTACAATTGCGTAAAAAAAAAGAAAAGAAAAAATACTACAATGACTTAAGAAAAAAAAACTATCTGACAATGACTTAAGAAAAAAAAAACTATCTGACAATGACTTAAGAAAAAAAAAACTATCTGACAATGACTTAAGAAAAAAAAAACTATCTGACAATGACTTAAGAAAAAAAAAACTATCTGACAATTACTTAAGAAAATCAAAAAATCAAACTGTATTTGAAAATATAACCTTAACAAAACTACAACTTAAAACACACATCTCACCACCTCTAGTAATTATGTCCACATAAACATGTATATACACAAAAGCTGAGGATTATCTACCATGTATTCAATTGTGAAAGCGGAATAACATTTTTATAATTTCCAAGCACGCAATAAAATTAAACTTCGACATTAAATGACCTATAAGGAGTTGATATGCTGTTAAACAAACAAATCAATCACCCCAAGCAAGGTGATAAAGCCACTAAAACACAAGGGTCTATTGAGAGTGAAGGAAAATGAGAAAACATGATTGAGGCGTAACGGCAATAAAAAGAAGCAAGATTCAAGGAGACAGAAGACGATGATTGATATTACATTTAAATTTTTGGAAATTGTAGTTGACTTGAAAGCAAGAATCTGGAAAAGAATTCCACAGGTGAGAAGTAAGAGAAAATAAACTATGAGAATAGAACTTATAGTCATCTCCAGCAATTTCAACAGTAAAACGATGCGACCTAGCTACCAATCTAGTATTCTTTATGTGCCGTGTTCCCTCAGGAGGTAGGCAATCATGGCTCTCTACAACTTCCTGTCCCTTCCAAATAAAACAGTAAAAATGAAAAAAAACAAAAATAAAATCAAAATTAAGTGCATGAAAGGATAAAAAAAACCCCCAAAAAAAGCAGTTTTCCTTTTTATTCAACAATATTTTAATTTCTTTTTTTTTAAATTGTGTTGCGAAAGTTTCTTTATAGCCTGACAATTAAAATAAAATAGAAATTATGTGCCTAAAAAAAAAAAAAAAGTTTTCCTTTTTTCAACAATGTTTTTTTTTTTTTTTTGAAAAAAGGTTCACCAGTAACAATTATTTAGAAAATTTTTCAATTGCTTCTATAACAAATTTAAATCAATTTAACAAAAAAAATAAAGAATTCGTTTTTTAATAAAGCTTCACTTCTACAAAGAAACATTACTTTTAATTATAAAAAAGGAATTTATAACAATTAAAAAAAAAAACAAACTATTAATTTAAAGCATCGTTTAAAAAAAAAAAAGAAAAAAAAAGTGCATTTTAAAGGTAACTTTAATGAAAATTGCGCAGTAATCAAAATGAGTAAGAAGATATGAAAAGCAGTAAAAAGGCTGTTAACTAAGTAAGCTTCCACACATTACTGCACGAAGCAAACACATGTAAACAACGCCAATAATGGTGGTTGAACAGCGCAAAAGAGATCAAACTTACATTGTTGGTAAATCCTAAAGGGTAACAGAACGCAAATTTTTAATTTCATTTTTGAAATAATCACACAATTTCACACCAATAATGGAACATTTTCATTATCGTGAGCTTTTGGTGCTTATAGTGCAAATTAACCAAAAAGAAAACTGGTTTGTTGATTTTCTGAGAATATGTTGGTTCATCTATTTTTAAATATTTTAAAAGTTTTCTAAGAAACAAAATGAATCAAATAAATCAGAAGTTCACTGCTTGGTTGTGGCCAATGAGATCCATTGCTAAAGTAGGTATTTACCCAACCTCCCCACAAGACAGGATGTGGCACAATTCTGATTTTTTATGCGAGGCAATCCGAGCCTGTATGCACGAACAAAAATTCTTCCACATAGACTCCTCAGACACAGAGTTGGGTTTGTCTACCTTCCCAGACAAAACTGCCTTTCGGCATAGCCTTGTCTGCGTTCCTATTTGCCTGACAGCAGAGAGTTTGACGTCTTCAGCTTGCACCACAAGCCTAAGCTGGAAAGCAAGTTACAGCATAATGTATTGCAAATTTAAAAGAATTTACCAAAACTGGAAACAGAATCAGGGAAATTTTGAAATGGAAAATCAGGGGCCCTAAATATTTGTAGAAAAGCCACAGGAAAATTACACTACAGCAGTTGGAAAGTGATTAAAACTGAGATGCCAGGTCAAGACTGCTAATATTGCAGGTTCTTTTTTGGATTTTGTACAGAATCTCAAGACACACCAAATGGTAGACTGGACCATCTTGCCTAGGATGGCAGCCAGTCTAGAAGGAAAACTAACTTCAAGTTGTGTCTTTCGGGAGAACGTCATGTTAAAATACATGTACTGTCCACATGCTTTGACCACATCTTAGAAAGGTTAAAAATCATTGACAAGAATAAAAACAGGAGGAGATTTGAATATTGTAGATTTTGAGAAAATTGCACACAATAGTGATCACTTTGTGATCAGTTCTATTAAAAGGTGTGGCAATCATGACAGGAGCACCAGACAGACCAGACATGGCAGCTGTGTATATTAAGACTGCAATCAAGACGCTACTTTTTGGGGGAGAGCAAGACAGAGTAAAAGTGGGGGAGGACACTGGGGGCACCACTGAGGCACAGGAGAGTACACTGTGGGAGCCAAGTGAGTTATAGGCGAGTATATCAAGGATGCAACTGAGCAGAGATGTATAAATGTACAAAGTGGTTGGTTTGCTCACCCTATACTTCAAACTTTCAAAATTGATGAATGAATTGACAAAGGCATGAGCATGTGTGCCCTGCACAGGAATGTCATAGAGTTTCCCCGCTAAAACATTGCTGGTTCCATCAAAGCCTGAAAGAAAAAAAAATGTAATGAAAAAACAAAACAAGACCATTAAAACAATTGATCAAGAACGAATAAATACAACAATTAAAATCATTTTAATTGCTCAAATGATTTAATTTCTAGAATCGTCAAAGGAGAACATTGTATGTAATAGTTAAAAAACATCTTTTTTTTTAAAAAAAAACTGTGGGGAAAATTCCACCCGCGAATCTGTGCGTCGTGCAAACTCCGATTACTCAACGATAAAAAGAACCAAAATGGCAGCACCTATGTTTTATGCCGGGCGGTCTCGGACAGTTAACGCGAAATCTCGTTGTCTCGTCATTCGCATGCAAATCATGATCGGTACTCGACTGTATAAAGCAGGCGCGTTTTTGTTTCTGAGGACTGTGTTTTTTGCTCATGAGAAGGTTGGATGTATGACACTATTTTGTCGGCTACCCTCCTCGCGTTTTCCTATCTGCTACTATCAGTTGAGTCGTTGCTTTACCACCACAAAAACATACTGAAAATTTTTGGGTATTTTAGTCTATATTTTCTGTGCATACATACAGTATGATATACAACAGCTAAAAAAAATAAAAGAAAAAGAAAAAAAGACAAAAATGCTTGAGCAAAATCATTCTTGAAATTAAAAATATGCCTTTTACTACAGGGGTTTTCAAACATTTTCTTTCTTTGGGCTGCAATTTCAAGATAAATATTTGCTTGTGCCTCACTAAATTTTATGCAATAAAAAATTCTCAGTGGTATAACTTCTCTTCTAATCATTACTTTCTAAATAGTTACAATAATTTGGTATTTTTTCTTCGTCTGCAATGAATTTGCAATGATTAGTTGGGTTTTCATACTGAAATATGCTATTCAGGGGATAAAATTGGAGATAACAGGGAGGGCTATAAAGTAGAAAGAAAAAAACATTTTTCTTCTGATTCCTCCCTTCAAAACTGCATCTTCCTAATGCATCAGGGGGATCTTATAAGCATCAGAATACAGTAACAATTTCTTAGATGTCAAAACCAGAGAAAGCCCCAATATTGATTCCAAGTGAGAAAATCAATAACCGTAGAGTCACACACAAAGTTATACTTGTAAATCAGCACACTCTGCTTGAGAGTGTGTTTGTCAAAGTAAAAAGTGCCACAAATCAGGACATAGTACCAACACCACAAAGATGTTGATTTTTGCTGAAATACAAGGATTTAAAAAAGAAAAAAAAAAAAAAGAACTCATTGAAATGCAAAACTAGACAAAACCTCCGGGATCAAATTAACCTTTTCGGTCATCAACACTCACCTCCCATGTAACAGTAACGAGAAGCAGACATGCCTCCATCAGGCCCTTGGGCACGACGCAATCCAAATTCAAACAACGTCATATCAGGACCTGCAGCCAAACGGAATCTAACTGCATTGGTAGCCACCAAACTGGAACGGAAGAGAAGTAAAAATATTTGTATGATATGTTACAGAGTTTTAAATAGGAACATGTATATTATCTTTAGTACAAACATCATGGAGGGCATAATCAAAAGATGTGACATACCAGACATCACAATCAAATAAGAACGAAACACCAAGTAGTAATGTGGATTTGTCCAAGAAATGCATCACGTTATATGTCTGGGTAAAATGCTCAATATTAGAGATGGAGCACATATATATGTATAAATAAAGACCTCTCTCTCTCTCTCTCTCTCTATATATATATATATATAAATGATTGCGTCCAGAATGAAACAGCCTGTCACCTCTAAGTGTTAACTTCCATGTTCACTTTATATATATATATATATATATATAGAATGGAGATCAATGTGTTTTAGTGAACTCAGCAATTTTCAATCTGCTTGCCTGAATCATCTTCAAATGAGAGCAAGATCTAAAAGGTCAGCCTATCTAACAGTGATCTCATCTCACAATCCTCACACTTGTTCCATATGTGGCCTCATTTGTAAATCACTAGTGGGTCTTAAATGCCACTTAAGATTATCACACAAACTTTCATAACTGAATCAATAAGCTGTCAGATCCTCATACGTGGAAACCGATAGGAGAGTCCATTATATATATATATATATATATATATATATATAAAATGTATATATTGGCATCATATAATCTTCATTAGTTTCAAGTAATAGCATGATTTTTTTTTTAATAAATGCTATGCAATCTCTTCACAGATGAAGATACTTTAGGCCACAGAAATATGGTTCGACAGAAGCATGTTGAGAATAACATATACTGAACATGCGAGTAACTAGGAAGTTTTAAGGGAAATGGGAACAAAAAGTACATGTATACTTATCATCAGAAAAAGAAAGATGAAATTTCTACGACACAATGAGGAAAGAGTGCTTGCAGAATTTGACACTGACAGAACATATTGAAGGAAAGAGGGTCAGAAGTGTGTAACTGGAACCAAAAGGGGAGTGGAAAGGATAGCAAAACAAAGATTTATAAGAGCTACAATGGATAAGAAGCTGTAGTCAGTCATAATCGCCTACATCTCAAAGAGACATGGCATATAGAAGTATTATAGCTTGATTGTATTGCTACAGGTTAGCACAAATGTACAATATTGCTTCAACATTTTCAAGCCACTTTTGACACATTTGAACAGTTACAGAACCTTCTCCATGAACTGCACTAATCTTGTATCTTGGTAACCATTTTACTTTCTTTTAGAAAAAAAAAAAAAGACATATGATGAAAATTATTTATTTTCTTTCAGCTTAAAAAGAAAAAAAATTATGCAAACATTTATTACAATACAATCAAAATTAATTATATATAGTAAAAAATAAATGCTACCAATATTGCCTAGCAGCAAAACGGAACTGTTGAGAAACATAACTCATTAATGCCCACCTTAAAATCCAGTTATTATAAAAGTTAAAATAAAAATCTAGTATTAATCATAACCAGTTGACGTACCTAATGCTAACCCTCTGTGTTACTATACAGTACAGAGACATGGCCTCTCAGCAAAACTTGTGTTATATAAGAATAAAGTGTCGCTGTTACTATAGTTGTATCTGCAATTACAAAGTCTCTACTATAACAAGCATTACAAAAGTGACAAGTATTCGTTGACATTACAAAAGTGGCAACGAGCGTTTTTTGACATCACAGAAACTTGTCTCTGGCTGGACCATCAAGGAGGTGCACTGGTCCAATCTTGTGTCCAATAAGCAGCCTACGGAAGGACTTACCATTTGAGCATCCTATACAGTACATACTCACCTGAGACCTCTACCAGTTCAACTCGCCATCTGCAGACTAGAGATGACCTTACAGTAGGCCATGCTGCTACTGAAGGACATCATCCACCAAAAACTCCAGTAGATCAATCTGGCACTGGAGGATGTTCTGACGCTCTGCCACGACCATGAGAGCTAGAGGGACACCATCCACCAAGACCTTTAGCACATCAATCTGGCACTGGAGGATGTTCTGACTCTTTGCAAGACTGTGAGAGGTAGAGAGACAAGATGGCTCTCATGGACTTAACACCTTCATGGCACAAGATTTAGCTGCGGCAGCAATACTAACTATTGGTTTTACTATGTTAAAACTGACAGTGTTTCTCATATTGTCGATAATTTTCCGAATCAGATTATAATTCTGCTTTTTCCTTAGTTAACATGTTACACCATGCCAATAACTCATGAATAATGGACTATTTTGTTTTAATCTCGAGGAAAGGCAGAAAAAAAGATAGAGCAGGCGATAATGCTCTCATGTGTTTAACAGCTGCTTTAATGAAATGGAAGGCCTTGTCAAGATTAAATCTAAGTTGCTAAGCTTAAATATTTAATATAATATGGGAATTTCCATGTGTAGTCACTTACTGATGTGGCTTGGCTTTCCTTTCACTTTTCTGCAAATATTTTAATGGCAATTATTCTGATGAAATTTCTTCTTTGGTGCCTCAACCGCATAAATTTAAGTGCATTTCTAAATAGGCAACTAGGTCAAATTCCCTTACTGTTGAACTAGCTAGATGCAACTGCTTGTTCTATTCTATTTCTTTCCTACACTTCTCGACTGTAAAAAAAAAATACTGATTTCATGCTTCCCTGACAAAATATTCAAAAATTTAAATTCACCATCAATTGTCCGTCGTCTTGAAAGCCAATCCTTTACAGTTCTTTCTCGCCACTAAAATCTTCTTCAGTCTCTTTCACTAACCTCTTGCATCTTAGTGGCTTTATTGCCTTACTTGGGGTGAAATGATTAAGAAAAAAAAAAAAGAAAACAATCAATTATGACTAATCAGAAAAATTCAAAACCATGTTTTATTTCACAAGTTCTCTTCATGGATATTAATATTTACAAACTTTGTTCGCACAAATGAACCCCTTTTTGTTAACCTCTGCCAAAATATTTCAGTAAAGATGAAGACAATAGCCTTTCTGCAGCTTTCCTCAGGTGTATTATTTTGTAAGCAAAGAGAGGGGTCTTATTTTTTACAACTATACCCCTTAAGATAACAAATGCATTTGTAATATTCCAAATTGGTCAGTTAACCCCAGCAATACAGTCAGTTATGTGCTGTGTGTGATACACGCTTGGGCGATCATGTATCTTTTGATACATGACTGACGAGGCAGATCTTTTTGCCCACAGTAGGTTGCCATTTCTTTCTGTGGTAGACCAGTTGCCATCCAAGGCTATAGAACCCGGTCTGTCCCGGTATTTACCCATAGCTGGGAGGAGAAGAAAAGGATTCATAACTTTCCCAAGGACATTAGCATACAAGTGAATTTCATTCAGTTATGTGCCATGTGTGATACACACTTAGGCAATCATGTATCTTTTGGTAGACCAGTTGCCATTCAAGGCTATAGAACTCTGCCCTGCTATTTAGCCATAGCTGGGGGGAGAAGAGGAGGATTCATATCTTTCCCAAGGGTATTAGCACATTATGGATTCGACTGGAATTCAAACTTGGCTCTCTGATTCTTCAATCCGAGCTGCTAACCATTACTCCACTGTATCCACAAATTGTTGCATCCACTCACCACTACCATCACCGTTACCCATGTATTTTCGAATGAATTATACCATTGCAAGAGTCTAATTGTCTGGAAAAAAAAAAAAAAAAAAAAAAAAAAAATTTTTTTTTTTAATATTTGAAATTTTACCTGGCATAATTGACAAGGTTTAAAAAACAAGTCTCCAGCAGTTGAACTATGGGAAGTGGGCCTTCAACCATAATGAGTGGAACTTTAGGGAATACAACAGTCCCTTCATCAATGGCCCACATCGTGACACTGTTTACATTCATTTCTTTGAGGTAGTCAAAAAAACCTGGATGGGTGTGTTTGGGAAGAACTGTGCGAAGGTATTCAATATCTGGAGGAGAGAAAAAAAAAAAAAAAAATATTTTAAACCAAGAATTTTCACAAAAGACAGAAATTTAATTATTAAGCTTGTATCAAAGTGGGGGAAACAAAATCATTAAAAATCAACAACATCAAATTCTAGTATTTTATTGGCTTTGATTAAGGTTGATAATGAGGGTAACAGCTTTTTTCTGCTCCTGTCTGGAGAGCTCTTTTTGGTTAAAAAGAAAAAAAAGAAAGAAAAAAAACACCATTTCACCCCAAAGAGGTTACTCAGAGTTAAAAAGAATGGAGATGACTTTAGAAGGAAGCGGAAACTCAATTCTAAACCAGAAAAAAGGGATAAACCTCTACTCCTGTTCACAAGACTAGGAAAGAGTGTAAAGCATGTGATAGGCGAACGTATCTACTCCTAGTATAAAATGGCTTTACTTTATTAAATGTTTAAAGCTGGAAGCACCCAGATGGGCCTCGTAAGGTAGCAATGTAGTTCAACACAGAGCGTTAATACCCTTCACGTAATCAACTACAGGCACCAGAAAGCTTTTACGAATTGTAGATTTCCCAAAGTAATACTATGGAGGATAAATTATGTATCGTTTGACAATGAATCAACTATAAAATCAACTTGTAATATTTGACTGTCAGTGGTTTTTGAGATCTATCATCACACGTTCGGATTTTTCAAACAGAACTCAAGAGATTTAAGTGAAAGATATTATACTGAAATCTCTTAAGGGCTGACAGAGTTAACCATCACAGTATACCAGCAATGAGAGATCTTTGTCTGATAAGACACAGTGGAAGGAGGTATGGATTCATGCCTTTCACAAGAGCATAAATGCAAAATAAAGACAAGCAGCGGAAAACTTTGGAGGAAATGCTTCTAATACAAACTTAATTACATTCATTGACCCAGTTGTACAGTAATTGTTAAATTTACCAAAACGAAGAATATTGTTCTTAGAATTGCAATCAGATTAACACCACAAATCCTACCTATAGATCGCCCTTGAGTAAATAATGATTCACACTTTGGAGGAAATTTTTCAAATTAAAAAAAAAAAAAAAAATCAGTATTAATTCTTCAATATAGCAGCAAATGCCAGAAAAAATGTGAGGCAACAGAGATGTGGTTCTACAGAAGGATGCTGAGAATAGCATGGATGGAGCATGTAACAAGGAAGTTTTAAGGAACATGGAAACAAAATGGATACTTATACTTAGAATCAGAAAGAGAAAATTTCTAGGGCACATAATGAGGAAAGAGAGCTTGGAGAATTTGACACTAACAGGACATTGAAGGCAAGTGGGACAAAAAGTTACAAAGAACTGTACCAGATAACAGACACCACATCTCTTGAGGACTTTCAACAGCAGCAACAACTAAAATGGATATCACTTGAAGAAACAATAATATAATTAAGATGTCGACATTCCACACTACTTCAAACAAAAGATTAGGAAGGAAACCCTCATCAATTGTTTTAAGAGAATAATTTTATAAATTTTAATCAAGAATCATAGTGGCTGCTTGGTCAATGAATGCCGAAAATGGCTAATATTACTGTTATCATTGAGTAGCCTATCTCAAGCTTGTGCGATGGATAGCAGAAGATGGAATTTGATTGATTTATTCATTTTCTACAGCTCAACCCTTTGCAGGTTATTTAAAGCCAGAAAATATTTTTAGACGATAAGATTTGATTTTTTTTTTTTTTTTTTAGATAATAATGGTTTAGTGATGCAAATCTTACTAATTAACCCATAGCTAGGAGAAGAGTTGAATTCATACCTTTCCCAAGTGTATTTGCACATAAGTGAATGTAATGTATGCAATGTGTATTGGAACTCAGCTTTTCGATTAACAATTCTGAGCCATGATCCATTATATCACATTCAAGCAGTCACCCATTTAGGTACTGACCAGGCTCAACGTTGCTTAACTTTGGTGATCATAAGTGAATTTGTAGGATAGTGAAAATTATTATAGTAATATGGAACTAAAATGACAAAACCTGATATTACCCACAAAAACAAAACTATATTCCCAACATTAACACACTAGAAGGAGGAAGAGTAGGAGTAATAATAATAATTTATGTTCTGATGATGCAACCCTGGCTCTCAGGGCTTCAGATCCAAATTGATTGCAACTGTTAATATGCACATATTGTCTTGATGAATTAAGATATGCTATAATAATTAACCTATCCATTATCATAGTCTTGTTTGTACGTTGCTTAGCCATGTCCCCTAAGAGGGTTGAGGCACTGTGCTTCTTTGTTCATGAGGTGTAGAGGAGGAGAATTATGACCAGGTATTGAGTGGGTACATCGTTTTTTCTTTTTACCACACTAATTTCTCTCTAGAATTTCCCCCCTGCCACAGCATTTTTTTGAGAATGCAAGAAACAAGCACCTACTGTTTTAAAATTGTTATAACTTTCTTTGTATTGTGTGTATAGAGTTTATTTTTTGTATACTAATAAAAGAATGGATGAGTAATATTTTGATGCCATGCATTACGTTTTGCATGTTTTGACATTGAAAAAAAAAGAAATTGAAACAAAATGAAAAAAAATACATTAACAATTCAACATACTTTAATTTTTATTACACCCCTTGTGGAGTTCTGGTGGGTGCAATAAGAAGCAAAATTGCTAAGAAGGTTTGCATTTCATCGAAAAAGTTATGTGCTTCCTCGTGTTTCAAGATACAAGAAGACACCAGCATTTGTTTGGTCTTTCTTTCACCTGATTAGCATATTTATTTGTCTCGTTGACGAATAAAGTTAGTATTTCATCATTTATGAATAGACGAAATAATTCACCTTCAGAAAGGCTATGAGGTACATCAATGGTCGCCAATAGCTTCCATAAAATTAGTGAGTCATGGATGATGGTAGCCGCAAGTGGTCATGAACGTTTTCCGCCATGGAACGATATGTGGTCATGATCTTTGACCACTTCACCGTCAATATCCACTTGAGTAAAGCCTTCAAAATCATTATCAGAGTCCAAATCAAAAGAAAAAAATCCTAAATAAAGGCTTCGTTGGATGTTGATGTAGCCATTTTTGTTTACAAAAAATCGTGACAAAATTTGCCTGCATTTAATTGATGTAAGAGTGTAGAGTGTTGAAGAATTCAAAATGGTGTCAGAAAATGGAAGTTTAGCCTCATTCCAAAACAGTAGTAGGCGATTTCCAGCTTAAAATACCAGAAATAACAGTTGACAAACGTTTATTTATAGCAACCGTCTCAAGGTAACAGAATGCGCCTAGAGTGGCAAAGGAATGGGGTTCTATGGCAACAATTTTTGCCTTCAGCATGTTAAAAGTATAAGCTAATCAACATGACTGGGGAGTTACATCTAGATACTTGGGACTACCCTCAGTTGGCAACCATCTGAGCAAAGTGATTTACCTGATTTGAGGGTAGTTCTAAGTGGAATCCACCTGCAAAGTTATACACTGGTTTTATCAAAACCTACTACCATACTGTGCACATTTGGCTGTTATGCATGTGCCCGGGATACTTTTATCACACTAAGTGTCCTGACATATATATATTGAGCGTCTTCATATATATATATATATATATATATATATATATATATATATAGTGAGACCCAGATATAAGAGAAACCCGGATATAAGAGAGATTTTCTCTGGTCCCAAATTAGAGCCTGTGTTAATGTATATAAAATAGACCAAACCCGGATATAAGAGACTTCTTCTCCGGTCCCGACAACTCTCTTATATCCGGGTTACACTATATATATATTCATACACGTTTCATTAAATAATATAGACAAGTGTTGTCTATTTATTTTATGTAAATTTTTTTCATAACATCTGATAAGTTTAATAACATTATCGTTGAACAAAGAAAGAAATTCACAATATTGATCCATATTTTTTTTAATACAATCTAAGCTTTCGGCTTACTTAAGCCATTATCAAAGATGTCATTTACAACATAATATATGGACAAGACAGTGATGATAGTCTGTCAATGTTTACATAGATGATTTCTAAGCAACGATAAACACGTGCATATAAGACGCTAGAAGCGAAAATCGTACCGCATCTCATGATGTCACACATAACCACACGAGAGTGAATTGGAGAAGTATGAAGTATGGAAAGCCGTTGGTATAAACCAATGGCTTCTGTTACCAATTATGGACATTTAAGAATATTTGTAGAGATGCCATAATTGATTTTGTTTAGGTTGGGTTTCAACTGTTTGATGTATAATGCTTCAAGGATTTTTAGTTTTTGTCTATTGTTTTCATGTTGAAGTATAATTGTGTTTTTTAACAAAGTATTTTACGGAATTGTGTGTGTGTAAATAGGCATGTTGTTTTAAATGCCTAAAAATGTTAGAGTTTTCATTCAAATGTAGTGTCAAGCGTCGTGAAAGCAAGTTTGTGGTGTGACCAACATAAATATTATTTAATTCGTTGAAGATACACTCTCCCAAAGGGCACTTGAATTTATCCCAATTAGATTAGATTGTATTAAAAAAAAATATGGATCAATATTGTGAATTTCTTTCTTTGTTCAACGATAATGTTATTAAACTTATCAGATGTTACGAAAAAAATTTACATAAAATAAATAGACAATATTTGTCTATATTATTCAATGAAACATGTATGAATGAAAAGATGCTGCCTAAATACACACAATATATATATATATATATATATATGTCAGTGTCACTTGGTTAGCATGCTGCTCTCTCTCTCAATAATTAGCAGAACAACTGAAATAAAATACAGCATTACTAAAATCAGTAAGAATACAAGAAAAAAGTTCTGGCACTTACCACTGTCAGAGAAATGGAATTTCTTTAAGTATTTAACACACTCTTCCAAGCCAGCAAAGATGGTAAACTCCCCTTGGAACGGATTCTTGCGGAAATAAAGATCAAAACCTGCAACATCATTCTGTTTTCCACTTAGCCAATAAGAATAGGCCATCGTAATTTGATAAAGATCTGAAATAAGAGGACGAAGAAAAAGAATGGTTTTATTTTTAAAGGAAAGCAATTAAAAAAAATCTATAGTCAAAATTAAAAATCTATAAAGACATACAAAGCTAAAGTAACTTTCATTTCATATTTCATCCAAAGTAAACCTAATACTTACCTGGCATCTGCTGGGAAATGATAAGCGAAGACTAGTTTTCTGCCGAAGCGGGATCTCAGTAAAAACTGACCAATATTTTGACCAGTAACCCAAGTGTACACACTCGGGTACCCCACATTAAACAACTGAACTTGTGTCACATCCTGTCTCTGTGAAGAGGCTTGGGTAAATACCTACTTACCTGGCACACGCCGGGTAGTATTTATCATCTCTGAGTTGCATGTCCGTCTTCGGGCAGAATTCAACACTGTCCGCAGACAGATCACAACTGAGGAAACCAAACACTGCAACATGCCTGTCTTCTCTTGGGGACAGCTGTCCGAGGCTGCACCCCTGCATTGCACTAGAAAGGGGGGATCAGTAGTTGCTACTGAGGCCAGCGTAACCAACGGTGGTAGAGGATGTGCAGTTTTTGTCCTTGGCCTGGGTTCTACACAATAAACCAGACATTGTTTCACATAACATCTCAATGGGAAGATGAGCTAAATATTACATGCAAGGTAGGGTTTATCATCTCTCAGTTACATGTCTATCTTTGGGCAGACAGTGAATCAATTGTACCTCTCTCCAAGGACAGGTGCCCAGACCTGGGAACTACTGACTATGGTTGTACCTGCTTCGTTGCACTAGAGAGTGGGGATCAGTAGTTATGTCAGTGCATCTGACGGTTGCGGGGGCTGGGCAATTTTGGGCCCTGGCCCAAAGAAAACACGCTCTGGTTCCCCACATTAAAACCAGATCTTGTGTAACAAGTCACACTAGGAAAAAGAGGTAGTACATAAATTATTTTTTAGAGGAAATACACTGAGAGGAGGGGGAGAGACACAAAAAAAGATGAGGAATTCAGGGAGGGAGAGATAGAGAGGGAAGGAGGGAGAGAGAGATGAGAGGGAAGGAGGAGGAGAAATTTAGGGGGAATATGAGGGAGGGAGGGAGAGATGAGGAGGGGAAGGGAGGGAGGAAGGATTGAGAGGGGGAATTTGTGGTTTATTTGTGGTTTATACAGCAACTATACTGAGTATATATTAGTTATATAGTTTAAAGTTCATAGTCAGGCATGATCACCTGCTTGAACAAGGCCAGTATGCTCAAAGCCTCAGTCACGATGACTTGCAATGGTCATCAATGGCTTCTGCATAATTCCATCTGTCCAATTTCATTCAAAAGGTTTGGTCAACCTGTGGCATGTTTTTCAGGAACTTTTCAACAGTGCCACATGCTGGAATTGTGACTATATTTTCAAAAACATTTTTATACATTCACCTGATTTACATGTGAAGTATTGTCCTCACCTTTGTTGTTATTAACACAACATTTTGGCCACTGTACCCTCCACCCTTCATCAGGTGCTTGTTGATCCAAGTAACCTTCAAAGAACTTTAAACTGAACCCTTTATTTAATCTATGGACATAGACTGTTCTTGTATGGCACAAAAGATTCCCCATATGAACAGCTGAGCTCACAAAATGATGCTATGAGAGTCAGAAGTATTTGGTTTGTTTTTTTTTTAAGTCTAGAGTTCAAAGTGGCAATCCACTTGAGCAAAGGGTTAGAAAATAATAAAGAAATAAATGAAAAAAAAAGCGATCAAGTGGCACTTAGCTGGAAAGCAGATGTTTCCGCTTGCAGCCTTATATAAGTAGAGTGCTGGCTACGTTGAGCTAGAGAGAAACCATCCATTCAACCAGTCACATCAATAGTAGTTACTCGGCTGAAGCAAGACAAAGAGACCTATGTGCCACACACCTACTACCTAAGGGTATATCGGATCTGTCCAGGAAATCTCGTTGAACTAAACACCAAATTATTGAGAATTGGATTCTCTGGCCTAAAATTTGACATTTTAAGTGCAGATGTTGGAAGAGGAGACAAGAGCAATTGGTGAGGTTGAAAATTTTGTGAATTATTGATTCATTGGATTTGAGTCTTTATTTCATGCTGTTGATTTCATCTTCCATTTCTTGCGAACGTACAGTGGGTCTTTCAGTGTTTGGACACATCGGCATGAACAAGAAGCAAAAATCTACATGAGGATCGATTTGTCTGGTCATTGAAAAACAGGAGCCCTGTTGTGTGTTAACACTTGTTCTGCTGACCATATCTAGTTCTTATTCAGTACTGCTCAATTATTTCCCCAAAGTACACACTGCCTGGGATTTGGTTTGGTTTGGTTTGGTTTATTTTGTTTTATGGCATATCAACCTCAATAGGTTATTTAATGCTGACAAAAATTTTTATTGCTGGTAATATTTTGTTTTGTCAAAAATCTGTTTCTGGTAATATATTTCCTTCAAAATTTTATTGCTGGTAATAGTTAACTATTTGCCTATAGCTTGGACCCTAACAGGTGCTACTACCCCGGGTCAGGGTGGACCTGAGAACACCATCAATTAAGAGGGGGTTCCATGCTCAGCAATACCTCCTGATCAGAGGCCTTGCTGCTGGATGTAGCTTAATGTCTTACCCAGGACGCCTGCCTGGGATTTAACTCACAATTACTGTATCACGAAATTCATGAACCAATACTTTAATCCATGACGCTATTGTCCCTTGAGACAATCCTGAATAGACATTCTTTTTCCTGCAGTGGTGGCTGTTGCTGTTGCTGAAATCTTGTTAAGAAGATAATACAATTACAATGGTAAATAATGGTAACTCTTTTTCACTAACTCGTGAATTCTCAAATCAGCAATTAGCAAGCAGACAAGATCCCCTGGTGGAAAAGTAGTGTCTCCCCTCAAGATTTTTCAATGAGAATTTTCACCTAGATGTAAAGACGTGAATCTGCAATTGCTATGACTGGGAAGTCTCTCTTACTCATTGCTCCCTCTAAGTGACAAATTGTCAGCAAAATTTCCCTACTGGGGACAATAAAAGTAGTCAAGACAAACCATATGCTTTGTGTTATTCAATACAAAAAAGAAATTGGCCTGAAGACAGCTTTGGAGACTCACATAGAGACACAACCAACTTAACCCACTATCGAACAATAACCGAGGTCATCAAACATCACTTTGCACCGTATACTTAATCACATATGATATGACAATGTCACACTTACATTCCAATCTCTGCAAGGTGTATTCAGTATAACGAGATTCACAATGGCACTTAACTTCTCTCCACTGACAACAAGTTCGAATGACTCAGTACATAAAAAAATTATTTTGCTTAGACAGTATTAACTTGGGAGTTTTCTCAACAGATTTTCCAGCAGTGAATTTGTGCCTCGTGTTTAAGACTAGGAAGATCTTTTCTTCCATTGGTAATGATAGCATTCTTTTCTCCCATAAAGCTCGGCACATTGGGGTTGGGTGTGAGTAAGGGTTAGCAATAAAGACTAGTTCAGCATTACAACTGAGTAGTGAGTTTGCTTCTCACCGGGTGCTCTTATACTTGTCGATTTATGTCAAACTAAGTAAATGACAACAAGCCTTATAAGACTTTAGACGGTGACTGTCCTAAAATCCTAATTCTCCATGTACTATCTGTTACTTCTAGATGTGACATGATTAAATCTTTGAGCCCTTACCACCATTTTAGAAGTGATAGAGAAAAATGACAATGCCCAGCCACCGGTTGAACAGTGGTAAAGAAAAATGACGTAATGCCCAATTACCAGTTGAACAGTGGTAAAGAAAAATTACTTAATGCCCAATTACCAGTTGAATGGTGGGTGAACACTTGTAACTATCTTTATATCTATTGAGAAACATCATATACCAATTGTTTGCGAATTTTGACTCAGAAGCTCAGGCACAAGGGTTAAAATTGTTCAGGAATGTAGAGCTCAAATGCTTAATAGGAAATATTTTTGTATGTTTCTTTAATTAAAAGATAAAAATTCAGTAACTACAGTGAATTTGCTTTTAGTTTTCCATTTTCCCCAAGGCTCCTCTTACAACCCAAAATTTCAGATTTGGATTTGTCTGGCCACAATTTTACTAAATTATGTATAGTTTATAAATGAAACTTATATTGTTTACACAATTAACCCTTCAATAGACAATTTGAGATTACCAAAAGGGCTAGAGATTTTATTCAGGTTGATGGAATCATGGGAAAAAAAGAACAATATCATTCGATTTTGCAAAGACATTCTACACCGTCTGGTTTACGGATAATTGGATAAGATTTCACTTTTCAAGAATACAACAATCCAAAACACTCTTCTAAACTATGTCAAAAGAAAGAAAGAAAGAATTCTGGTGATAAAGTGAAGGCATGAAATCATACTCCCTCCCTGTTAAGTATAATGCTTATATATTTTTGTAAGTATTTTTTTTATGAGCTTCCTAGTGGTATCAAAACATCACCTGGGCACATGAATACAAAAGCGTTCAAACTGTTTCGGATATGAATGATAATAATACGGGATTTATCTGTAAAGATACAAATCTCTTTGTATCAAATGATGGATTTCTCTTTCTCTAATTCTCTCTCTTTTGCACACACACACACAAGGATTCAAATTTCTCACCGTTGAATGTTATTAGTTCTTTCGGAGAGCATCTCATTTTTGAGTTTCAAGTTCAGGGATATCAAAATCTCAAATAGGCAGTTGTGAATAAAAGATATTTGCATGTTTGCTCAGTAAATAAATATAAATAATTAGACAACAAATTCTGTCTGTTCGTCCGCCTGCCTGAAACCCTCTAGTCCGCACTTGCTCTACATAGATATATTGAAATGTTAAAGTGTTAAAATGAGCGATCAATTTTGTGTGACGATTTATTTTTCTCTTCATTGTACAATTCATTCCCCTCCATAATAACATACTCTCTCCCTGCTAAGTATAATGCTTATAATTTTTGTAATTATCTTTAAATCTACCATGAAACATTACCT